AGGAAAGAGAAATTGGTATGCATTGTATTTATTGGTTTTCAGTGTATGTGAATACTGTGCAGTTAGGCCAGAGGAAGATATTGTGGCAGCTAAAATCAAAATTTGACGCTGGCGAAATCAGTGACAAACGGTAGTGATGATCATATTGTTAAGCTCATCATAACAACAAATTGTATGTCGTGTGTTCGAATTCCGCCACAACCGCTAGTCTCCCATAGTTTACTGGAGTTCTCAATTTTCTCTTCGACTCTACCTTCAACTTTCCCGTTTTTCTCCTATTATTCATCCAAATGGGCATCCAAAACGGGCGCACGAAAGTGTATGATTAATTGTTGTTCAAACTGAACTGAACTGAATTGTTGATGTGGCGTACCTACGACAGGAAACTATCTTGCCATCGAACGCTCCCTTTATGTGTGACTGCAGCAAAGCGGAATTTTCACCACAGTAAAGTGAACTTTGCTGACCATTGCTAAACTAAATGGAGTTAATGATTTCTCCAAATAAAAAACAATCACCCTGAGTAGTAGTTCACTCATTCACTGTTTTTTTTTATTCGCGTCAGTGCGGATGAAAATACCTTTCGTGTGAACCACCTCATGTCGAGTAATCCATTGACCTAAACCTCAAACTCTTATCCCGCTCTTTACTACACCACGCAGTTGCATGTTTTTTGGTCCAAAATAACGGACTAGGAAATTTTGTTTGACTTGCAAATCAGTGGTGTTAGGCTTTCGACAGATTACAAGAAAGCTCCATTAAACATTACTCCTATTTCTTTCTGGAAATATGATGTCATATTCGTTCACTTATACTACAAAATGGCTCCAGTACACATTATCCTGCATCAACGAGTCATGACATTGAGATTGTGTAGTTTTTTCTACAGACAATCCCTCTCTCTCTAAGAAGCTTCATTTCGCAATATAGTACATTTGGGTTCCTCTTCAGTAATAGTAAACCAGTTTCTTAGTGTTTGTTACTTATGCATAGACAGCTGCGATAGACCGCTTTCAATATGGCCGATCAAGCGGAGAAACACGACATGCATGTCACGTGCACCGAGCGTGAAAACGGTGTCTTTGCGTTTGGAATATAATGCGCGAATGTCCTGAGTCAAAATTAGCCAGCCTGGTTATATAGAAAGCTCCTACTGTTGCTCCAAAGAGGCCGTGTTGAAACTGCCCTTGTTGGGCCTTTACTTCCACCACTGGAGGTTGACGGAGAAACCTCGAACACATGTCCTTTTCTACTTATCCAACATTTCGCGATATTAAAACTGTCGGATCACAAAATAGCAAATATATCGTTCTGGGCATCAGTGGTCAAACGGCACAAAGCACCTGTACATCTTCCCGGAGTTCGAATCCCTTCACTGCCAGTCAACCCGTCGCGTTTCTTTTTATTTGTTTTACGTCGAGAAACCGAAAATACAAAGATTTATGTATATACAAGGATTATATATATATATATATATATATATATATATATAACGGAGGCGGGTGAGAGAGGACCTAATTGAGACGTTTAAAATCGCCAAGGTTGACAGGCCTTAGGTTTGACGACCTGCTCTCTTGGGTTCCGCATACAGGCACGTGGGGACAACTTACTTTTGCAGCGAAACCATTCTAGGCTGCAAATGAGGTCAAGGTTTTTCACTAACATGGTGATTCCAATGTGGAACTGGTTATCGTTGGCACTGGTAAGTCGTAGTACTGTAGATGCTTTTAAAAAGGCACTAGACGAGTGTTGGATAGTGGTTTTTCCCGAGATAAGCGCTTATTTACTTCCTATAACCTGACCTCAAAGGAGATGATACTGCACCACAATATTCTGCCTTTCAGAAGAATTGCATATCGAGGTGTTGGAAGCCAAGGAAACTCGCCGAAAATACGAATCTGGATGCTCAATTGGCAAGAGCCACGAATCGTCCTGTTGGACTTAAACTGAACATATGCCACACTAATGAAATTATTTATCCGTTACATTCATCTTTACACTCCTATACTAGTTGTTTTATTCAAACGGTCCTGTTTCGTTTAACCAACATCTCAGACAATATCTCTGACTTCAGTAAGTAAAACTAAAGTAGCATGACATTGGAGTGGAAATTTGATTTGACTAGGCCTACAATGTTTATGCCAAAAATGAACAATAATAGTCA